TATAAGAACAGGAAAAAAGGTACCTAAAGAGTGAAAAAAGTAGACTATATGATAGTGTCAATTATACTGATACTACTTTTGTCAAAAATACTATATTATATATTCACTTAAAATGTAAATGTATATGTAATTTTATTTATTTTTGTACTTTTGTCTTATGTTTCCTTTATTTAACAATTAGGGAAAAAGGGATGCTGTTTAATAAAATACACTGAAACAAAGACAAAAACACTATTTAGCAACCACTATGAGTCATGCCAATTTCTTTGGCAAGCCCATATGAGCATGTTGCTCATTTAGGAAAGAGATGATCATGCTTTATTCCTAATTCTCTGGAGGGGGGATGGTGGCAATGAGGAGGGAAAAAGCAAAGGATTAACAATTTCTTCAACCTCCTGAATCCACTGGGGCTCATCCCACCACACTACAGCTGACCACTGAAGGTAGAGGAATCAGAGACTTCACAATTCAAAGGGTTTTAGCCCTGTTCACCTGCAAAATTTTCCTAAGTTCACTCCCCACATCTAGTGATTCCTCTAATGGGCATTATTTGGATTCTAAAATGATACCTCAAAATAGTAATAGTAAAACTTTCAGATGCCTTAATCACTCTACCATCATAATTCTTAAGATTGAGAGATATAAGACAATCCTGGCTATTACTTGATCACCTTATTAGAAAATACACTACTTTCTAATTGTTGAATTCAACCACTTCTTTTCTCAATGCAGTAACAAAAAGAGGAAAAAGAATCCCTAATAGTCTTGTAATAATTATATGTTATTTCCAACCTATATGACATTACAAGTGATTAGTGGCCCATTTCTCTTTAACAGTCTACAAAGGCCTCTCCATACAGGATTCATAATCAATTATTGAGCATGTTGGCAATAATGACAAAATTTATGAAAATATTATAAAATCTGTTAAATTCCTTAAATTTAACAGATTCTTTAAGTTTAAGATTCTACCATGAAACAAATTAAGGCACATTAAAATTTGAAGTTTGAGAAGCAAAGAATAAATACCTTATTTTTTAAATTTATTTCTGACAGAATGTCAAACAAGGAGCAAAAAAACAGATTTGAATGTTCTATGAGAGATGCTTGGAGGATGTGGCAGCATTTAGACACACTGGTCTTGCATTAAGACATAGAACCAACTGCCTTTGCCAGGACCCAGTTCTTTCTGGGAAGCATTAGCAGATAACATAGAATGAGTGTAAGTTGGGCATGGGGAGTCATTCTTGGAAATGTAGACCAAATGAACATCAAGAAAAGAAACGCAGAATCTGTATTTACACACACAGGATTGTAGGAAAACCACTGCAAGGTAAGGAAGAGGAATGAGTCCAGGGCAGACAGTTTTCCATTCTCTTTATGCAGTGTTAGCATAAACAAGGGGCTATTCTAAATGGAAGCCAAATGACAGGTTACAAATTCATAAGTACAAAATCATTTTTATTCTTCTCAGACTAGACTATCAGGTAGAGAATCACTGTAATGAATGGCTGCCTGTACTTTTAATCTTTTCAACTCTGGATGAAAGTAAAATTTGTTTTCAAACAGGCCTGTAAGAATAGGGATGCAGGGTAGTCATTTCAAAAATAATGCCCATGTTGTGTAAAGTATCGGGCATTAAATATGAAAACAAATCCCAGTAAGAGTTCAATTACCCCCAAAAATAAATATTCCCTTGCAGATAAGGTATTTTAGCAAAGATATGTGGCAAGTGATGAAATGAAATTTGCCTCGTGCCTCTGATATAGGTATATAAGAGAAAAAGGTAGTACTGTGTTCTGTATTTAAATGTACTCTAAATGTATGATGAATAATAATAATATGTGAGACATTTAGCACATATTAATCCCAAAACATATACTAAAACATAAGGCATGTACATAAGCCTGATATTGAAAATACGGCATGGAGTTATACTTCTCTGGCCTCAAATTCTAAAGACTTTTAAAACATATACCATAGAGCCAAAGACCTTGACTCTTCTCAAATTTATAGCAAATGATATTCTGTGGTTCTTTCAAAAATGAATTTAATCCTCCCTTGATTAAACTGTGTTTTCTTGGTTGTCTGAACAGAGAAACACTGCAAGCTACTGAACTGCTTACCATTTCATCAATTTCAAAACAACATATGCCTTAACACTAGTGTAAACGACCTGTTTCAGACACTTCCCATTTCTGTAGATGACCATTTAATCCCTATGGTTTCAGTAATTCTCAATCTAAGCCTTAGAAATGATAATAGAACAGAACACTCAAAAAAACAATACATACTAAAGCTTCCACTTTAAAACTGTTTTCCAAGCACTTCCACATATACCATCTCAGTTGATACTTAAAACAATGCTTTGGGGTATTATTTTCATGTCTACTTTACAGACAAGGTAAGGAGAAGTTTAAAGAGTATATCCAAATAGTTAATAAATACATGAAAAAGTGATCAACCTCATTAGTCATGAGGGAAAGACATTAAAGCACAATGAATACTACCATACATCTACCAAAATGACTAAAATTGGAAAGACACACTGTACCAAATGTTGGTTTGGGTGTGGAGGAACTGGAACTTTCCCATACACATCTATGAGAGTATGAAATGTTACATCTGGAGAACTGTTTGGCAGTATCAATTCAAACTGAATACATGCATACCCTATGACCCAGGAATTCTAGTTTCAAGTATGTATCCCAAAATGTGTTACTAAGGATATGTATAGCAATGTTCACAGCAATATTATTCAAAATAGTTTAAACTGAGAATAACACAAATGTCTATTGACAGAAGAGGACAAAAAAGAATTCTGATAAAGTTATACAATACAATACTACATGACAGTAAGAATGAGTAAGTCATTGCTATACAAAATGTGGATGAATCTTACAAATAAAAGTTCAGGGAAAGATGGCAAACACAGTGAGTATAAGCTTTATGATTCCATTTGCAGTAAGCTCAAAACCAGGCAGAACAAATCTATGATATTAGCAGTTATGATATTTGAGGAGAAAACAAGATAGAAGTATGGGGATGGGAACAGAAGGGGCTTCAGGAAGAGTGGCTGCCTCACTCTCTTCAGGCTGCTTCAACAAACTACCATAGACTAAGTGACTTAAACAACATTTATTTCTGACAATGTTGGAGGCTGGGAGCCCGAGATCAAGGCACCAGCAGAGTCAGTGTTTGATCAGACCCCACTTCCTGGTACATAGATGGCCATCTTCTAGCTGTGTCCTCACATTGTGGATGGAGCAAGAACTCTCTCTCTGGGGTCTCTTTAATAAGGCCACTAATTCTATTAATCAAGGCCCCACCCCTATGATCTAATTAATTGCCAAAGACTCCCACCTGCTAATACAATCACATGGGGTTAGGACTTCAACATAAGAATTTTGTTGGGGACACAAACACTTTTCAGTCCGTGACACTGGTCATGTTCTATTTCTTGATCTGGGCAGAGGTTACATGGCTGTGTTCACTGTGTGATGACTCATCAGCTATATATTTATGATTTGTATATTGTTCTATATGGAGGTTACAACATAGTAAAATTTTATTAAATGTTTAAAACAATACTTTCCTATTAAATTACTACCAATCTAAATGGGAAATGTGTATGTGTACCTCAATGTATGTAATAAGCCAACCCTCCAATTAAATGTTCTTATCACAAAAAAGAAATAATTATGGGTCATGATGGAAGTGTTAGTTAATGCTATGGTGGCAATCATACTGAAATATATAAATGCATCAATTTAACACATTGTACATCTTAAACTTAGCCAATGTTATATGTCAACTTTATCTCAATAAAAAATAAGAAAAAGTTAAACTCCAAATACTTAAAAAAATAAATAAAACAACCCTATGAGGCAATAAGCACTGCAGTCATCTCCATTTCATAAAAGAGGAAACCAAGGTACACAGAAGTTAAATAACGTGGCCAATGTCCCATGACCAATGAGTGGTAAAGACAGGACTGGAACCCAGGTAGTCTATATCTGAGATATAATTGACATATAACATTGTCTAAATTTAAGATGTACAATGTATTAACTTGATACATTTATATAATTTAGTAGTATTGCCACCATAGCCTTAACAAACACCTTCATCATGTCCCACTAAGAATCCCTGCCTTCTTTGACCAATGCTTGTTGCTCATGTCGCATTTGCTCTTGGACATTTAAAAGCCTCTGTAAACATGACTCTAAGTAGTTGGATATAAACCACAAAGTACAGTCAAATCAAGTGAGGTGACTTCAGAAATGCCAAACATATACTACTGCTTTTCAAAATCAGGCCTCTAGAGGGCAAGAGATTGGCTTAACTTTGGCCCACAGAGCTGGGGCTACTGTGGAGACTCATATCAACTCTTTTTCCTTTTACTCATATATCAAGATATTTTACATACTCTAGATATTGTTGTACTCATTTCCACACCTTTGGAATATTAAATTTAGAATTAGAAATAAAAGCCAAAGCATGATTCAGGAAAAAAAAAAAAACTAAGAATAGCATATGTTTTTCCTTTGAACATGCTCAAATTCTTTACAGACCACCAGAGACCCTTACTTCTTCCTATTTTGTATCATTTTTATTCCCTATTATTCTAAGAACATTAGTATCTGGAATTCCGTAAATTAAGAATGATGAATATCAGATCTATTCTACCACCAGCAGAACAAACTCTATTACCTTTCATCTCAAGTCCTGTTGGAAATTAATAGAATTAAAAAATATTTAATGATATACTCCATATTTAGTGAGTAATCTTGAAAAGACTCTTGTTTCAGACAGTTTGGCAGTTCAGACAGGGGCTCCATTTCATATATTACAAACAAATAAGGATCACATTAGTTATAAAAGAACTTGTGTTAGGTTCCAATAAAAGTTAGCATTTGGACTAACAGTCAAGCAAAATAAATATAAGTTTCAGCTTTACGGCTGACATTATGAATGGAAATATATGTCAATTTGCAATATTTTTCTTGAATGATGGCATTTATTACTTGATCAATAGGATTAGTGCACACATATGACAAACAAGTAGTTGTTAGCATCAGTTGTTTAAGTTTAACAACAACAGGCCTTTTCTAATTTTGAATTTCAGTGTATTCAACTGACTAATCTTTACATTTAACAAGAAAATCAATACATTTGAAAGAATTAGCTTTGGGCTCTTGGGAATCTTTACTTTTGGGTAGCTGGATGGGGTTCTACTTGAAGTAATTACTGCCAGAACCACAAATTTTCTTGCACAATCAAATCAATGCCTCTATACTATTTTTTTAGCCTCTGTTCTCTGAAATCTGTGAAACAATGCCAGGATTGAAATACCCATTACATTTCTATGCTTTTTAGCTGGCTTTGAAATTTCAAGATTTGGAAAATATACAGTGAGATGAGCTATGCATTCATTTTCCTGATATAGCATGAAAAAAATAAAATAACTCCCACATTATCTACCCAAGATGACAGCCAATTTCAAAAAAAGTTTAAATACTCCAAGCATTTGAAAACATTCCATAGGCTAAAGTCAAAATTTGTAAAGAGATTATCTTTTAGAAAAAATGATTCTGCAAGTGATTTTTTCATTTCCCTCATGTACTTTTACAAAATTAAAATTCAGAATCAGTCACTAAGAAAAGATATCCCAAAGAAAATACAACGATTGTCCTGGCAGGTCTACTCCCTCAATGGCTCTCTCTTAGTCTTGGCACTGAAGATCAGTAGACGCTAAAAGTTCAGTATTTTATTACAGTTGCCGATCCTCTGGGTACTTTGTGGGGCAAGCAGTTTAAGGAGCTGTCTGTCTTATCCATGTTATTTAAGATTTCAGTTGGCATGAAAATCTCCGGGAAGAAAATTATTCTTCTCTCAGGGAAGAGTAGGAAGAAGGGATAAATGAATTAATGATTAAGAAGCCACCAATAATGATCCTACTTAACCAATCAAACAAGATACTTATGTAACAGACACATCAACTGCAAACAAACTCTCTCTTCAGGGCTTGTGACTTTGGATTTCAAATATAGTAACTTTGCTGTTCCTGAACAGAGCTTAACAGAAGATAAGTAGCCAACAATACCTGATCAGTTATTTTGTGAATTGGAATAAAGAAAGAGTTAACAAAAACATAAGGTTACCAACTGAGTCAAAATGCAAATAGACAAGCATACTACTACTAAGACAAAATTTTATTCACGTAAACCAAAAAAAAGGCTATTGATGGTATACTTAATAATGAAAAGCTTTCATATTAAGTTCAGACCATATTTTTTTTAAAAATCTCCTATTATGTTCATTCATTTTCTTAGTGATGGTTCAGATCACATCTTCAGATATGTCAGGAACCAACCAAATGTATTCGATACTCCAATAGTACCAAGATAATGATGCTCAAAGTTTAAAATCAAATGGTTGTGGCATACCCACTACCTCATAGAATGTAAATAGAATTAGATGATATATATCAGACATTCAAAAATGTTAGTCTTTTCCATGTAATAAATATCTATCTAAACCTGTTATCACAGACAACTGAGTATCTATGGTTGAAACAAAGCATACTGGGATTTTACTTGATTAAATATTAACTGAATACCTACTATGCACTTAGCATAGCTGTGAGAGCTATATTCTAAAGAAGAAAAGATTCACATTGAAGCAGCATATGCTACTTAGAACATATGTGGTAAACTGGAAACATTAGAGATGAAAATTAAAAAGCACACAGAAAAATGAGGGGTCATTATTTTCTAGTGATATGTGATTTTACAATCCTGTAACTTTCTTCTGTCTTCAATCCTAGGATAATACGTTCAGAATCTTTAGGGAAGAAATCTGAGACTGAGTCCTCTCTAAGTCATATAGCACAGGATTAATTGCTTCTGTGTCAATTTCCCAATTAATACTTCATGCCAACCAATGTTTCACTATTTGATACAGTATACCTTTTTTTATTTCCTCCTACCTCTCAGAAATTTGTAATAAGCCTCTGAAATAAGATTCTGGGGACACTTACAAGTCTTTCACCCAAGATGAGTTAAATCATTGTTTTTTCCAATGGAAGGTAAGGCAGGATTTGTATCTGGGGCTGCGAAGTGAATGTATTGGTTTATTAACTTTTAGCAGCAAGAAAAAGGCAGGTGGTGTTCTTGGTGGTGACAAATCAGAACATAACGCAATCTTCCTACAAAGACAGAGGTTACCTTAGGATCAGCTGTGAGCAGTTTGAAGGCTTGATACACTTGGGCTTCCTTTACACCACCACCAAGATCCAAGAAGTTGGCTGGCTTCCCACCATTCAGGAAAATGATGTCACAAGTAGCCATGGCAAGTCCAGCACCATTCACTGTGCAATGCAAACGGCACACAAGTCAGGATAAATTTAGCAACATGAAAGGATGTATAAGCTTTTTCCCTCCCCCATACTGCCCAAAGAGAACCCTGTCATACCAGGTCAGTTTCTCCCCTTCCTGGAATTCCATTCAACCAGATAAATTCATACACTCCTAGAATAAAGAATCAGGAAATAGGCATACAAAGTATAAACAAAAAAAGACATGGAAACAGACAGACAGATTTATTAAGAAGTTAAATCAATCTAGGAAACAGAAGGGAAGAGTTTAAGTAAGCTATTGATTTGGACCAGTAATAGAGGAGAGAGTTTTAGGCTCTGCAAAGTACAGAGTTCAAGAAAACTGGGAAAGAGAAAAAAGCTATGAGAAGTCAGTAGAGTCGAAGGATTGCATTATTTTCAATATCCTTTAAAAAATTCCAGTAAAGAATGGAATTCTTTTAATTTTTTGCTTGCTGAAATTATGCTCCTTTGAATGTGGCACCCCTCTGGTGTTGAACCACAAGGGGTCCCAACTTCAATAGAGCTTCACACTTTTTTACCCTTAGTGCAACCATGCATGTTTATATGCTATCTAGATAAACTTAGAAAACAAAGGAACAAATGATACCATCAAAACTTTATTCCTAAACCTTGTCCCCTTTTCAAACTCACAGAAGAAATGTTCACTAGCATTCTGGTCATTAAAACTAGAACCAAAATGTGCTAACCTCTTAGGAGCTTTTCTTAAGCAACCAAGTAAAGAGTTTTAACATCAAAATTCTTATTTTCCAGAGCTAAGTTTTATTGATCAATTGTACTTCTTTTGCTTATGCTTAATTATATGAAATTAATTTCTTCAGATTAGAAAAAAAAACCTTGAACACAGAAGAAAGTATCAAGGTAAAGTACTCTTCACTTTTTCTGACCCTTGAATTCCCCCAACAGACTTATGAACTGTGACTAATTAATTAAATCTGGGGCAACTTCAATAAAAATGGTTTATACAGGATCTTCAAACAATTTGAAATGTGTTAATTGTGGCTAATAAAGCTGCTAACTTGGTCAAATCACACACATTTCTACAGAGGCTACAAAGAATCTATATTTAATTTGTTCTAAATACAACATTATATCTTCTTCCTTTCTAAGTGCCTACAAATATTGGGAGTATATTAGCTTATCAAGATCGGAGTGATGTGAGTGATCTAGTACATTACAGTTATTGCTCCAATACAAAGCGAGAGCTTTTGGTATCACTTGTAATTGGATATCATTTTATATTGTATTGCACAGCAACAACTGGATGAAGTCTGCTCAGTTCTGAATATAATGATACTGTTGGTTTAATGAGCTACAAATCTCTTTTATTTTAATTCCATTAAGACCTCAGTTTCTAGTGCAATGAATTGGTTCCACTAGAAACCCAGAAGTGTATAAATCTCAGTTACTATAAGCTGTGGGCAATAACAAAAATTATATTGCCTCTATAGACTCATTCTTATCACAGCTGAGTAAGCCATTTTAATAAATTTAGATGAGTATGATAAAATCAATTGTTTTACTAATAAAATGATATAATGGATTAAACATTTTACCATTTGGTTATCATAGAAACTAAAACACGAGCATAATGATTAAAGTATATGATCTTTTCTACTTCCTTTGAGAAAGTTATTTTATCTCAAACCCAAATTTCAGAATACTTCCTAGCACATTAGCACTGACTAGGATAGCAAAGCTTCTAATTTTTACTAAGCAAAATTTAATAGAGATGCTTTAAGGTGGTAGTTCTCCACTGGGGTGACTTTGCCTATACCACAAGATATTTGGCAATATTTGGAAACTATTGGTTGTCACAACTGGGGGGTGCTAGCAGGTATAAAGGCCAGGGATACTGTTAAATGTCTTATATTGTACAGAACAGCACCCCACTGCAAAGAATTATCCCACCCAAAATGTCAATACTACCAGAGTTCAGAAACTCTGCCTTAAACCATGATCAATGACAAAAATGAACTTTAAGAAGAAACTGAATTGTTTTCTAAGACTTTTAGGCTATAAAAGACATAAATGTTTGCTCATTATTGGGAAATATTTCAGATATCAGGGGTTCCTAAACTCTGCAAAAATCCACAGATCATTCTTTGGATATAACTGCTTTCTTACCAAAGCAGGCAATGTTCCCATCCAGTCCTATGTATTTCAGATCGTATCTGGCAGCTTCATTTTCAATGGGCTCATTCTCTGATTTGTCATCCATAGCAAATATGTCCTTTTGTCGGAATTCTGCATTGTCATCAAAGTTTATCTTGGCATCAAAACAGACAACTAAATAAAGGAAAAAAGGACCATACATGAACATCTCTTAAAGGTCTATAAATTAAGTTCTCCAGACTGGCAGCATAGGAGAGAGAAAAGTAAGATATCATTTTTCCTTATGATCCAGGCAAGAGAAGCTATTAGGCTTTCTTGACCTTTATGGCTTTACAGAATCAGAGACAAACATGACATGGTCCCTGTTCTCAAGGGACTTACAGTCTGCTGAGGAGTATAGTAATTTATATCTATTAGTCTCTGTTCAATACAGTAACAATGTAAGTTGCTGACACCCATTAAAAACTATAGACTGACCCAGTTACATACAACTTTGATTCACCATTTTTCAGCATTTTTATCATACTTACTTTTAGTATTAAACCACTGACCATCACTTTTCTCTTCTTGCAAAGAGAGACTAAGGGATAATGCTTAATTCTACTCTCCACCTTTGTCCTTCTGATATTGCAAAGTGAAATTTTTATTTAATCAGTAACCTAATATTTTTGAAAGATTTAGTGAAAAGGACATTAGGCAGAATAAATAGTTTCTTATCTGCCTAACTAACTCTGTAAACTGGATTAAAAAAAACTTAACTTCCTTTCCAGGCCTCAATTTTCTTATGTGGAAAGTGGAAATAACAATCCCTAGACTGCTGGTATACTTATTTTGAGGTCTGCTCAAATATGAAATGAAGACCATCATTCTGATGTGTGCAGTATATGACTCTTTTAATTAAAGTTACATAAAACATGAGAGACCAAGACTGGTAATAAGATACAATGGAAGGCTGCCAGGCATTGCCAGCACTAGTGTCTCTACTCTTGGTACAAGTGGAAATCCCTAACTTTCTCGGTGGCCAGGAGCCTGGACACAGTGGAAATCACTCAGTGATACAGGCGCACTGCAGACCACTTTCCTTGATACATTTTCTATATGCATAGTCAGGGGGAAACTGCAGTGAGAAGAGGAAGCATGCAGGGTTCTGGGATCTGATCCTTTATATAGCTTTGGGTATAAATTAGTTACCTGTGATGACATTCCATTGTAACTTTTTTTTACTCTACTTGGGATAATGATTGGTTGGAATATTTGACCAAGACTTAGGGATATTACCCGTTCTCCTTTAGCATCACTGATAGGTACCTAACTCTTGAAAGGGAAACAATCACCTGGACATATTTCACTCAAAAGCAATGACCATAGTCCCTTCACCCCATTTGCTTCCCATGAAAAGAAAATATTGTTGCATTATATCCTGGAGTTACAGACCCTAGGTAGAGGTTTATTTTCCAAGGGTCTCTACCATGATAATCGAACACTATGATACAAATCTGGGCAGAACTGGCATGTTAACACCCATTCTTGGCATTAACAAAAGTATAAACCACAAATTACTTAAAGTAGCTTTGACAAGAGAGAATCTTATGTGGAAGTTAATGTCTATCTGAGTCCTTAGCCTTACCACAAAATGTCCAAACACTTTACCCACACACTGTGAATACATCTAGCAAATGAGTAATTACTTTCCAGAACAGTGAAATCTTAATGATGGAATCCTATAATTACGAAAAGAATTACCGAATATTCTCTCCTTGCTACAATGGCATTTTCTCAGCAGTTATTGGCCAGTATAATAATCAATAGGAAAGCAACTTTATTCTTGGCTTTCCACTGGGTTTATAAACACATTTTAATTAATTTATTAGCAGTTTTAGCTCTTCCATTACTCACTGGAAAGACTACCACAACTGACACCTTCAAAATGAATAGGCAAAGGCTATCAAATTGACTTCCTAAGTGAAGAATTTCAAATAAAAGAATTCTTGGTCAAGATCAATAAACTAGTAAATCAAAAAGGTCTAAGCTGTTCTTTGCCCCTTACAAAGCTACAGTTACAAGCTACTTGAGAGAGAGCATAATTAATGGATATGTAAGCAAAGTTCAGAAGGCAGCCCCAGCTAAATCTATGCAAAGCCAGATTTTCAAAAGATGCTTTTTCTTGCAGTATGGTATGTACACCAAGTACAGAAATGAGTTCTCTGTTTAGGCACCACTTTGAGAGAACTTTGGAATTAAACCAGAGCTCGAAGATGGTAACTGTGGGATACAAGTACCTACAAGTAGGAATAAAGGTGTGCCCACAGGTATCACATATGTGGGAGAAAAGGAGTATCTACAATGGCCCCTTTGCATTTGCTCCTCTCTGTAGGGAAAGCTAAATGATACATGGATATCCAAGTGCTTTGGGCAGTTAAAAACACCACATATATAGGAAGTTCGTAAGGGGATTCAGGAGTCAAGAAAGGAGATCCAAAACTGAACAGCTGTCCTCAAAGCCTAATCTTTTTGAGGAGTGCAGTGTGAAGGGGAAAAAACACTTTAATTTAAAGAGGCACAAGGACTCTCACAGACATATATTTGTTAGATCTGCTTACTATTTTAAAAGTAGTCCCAAATATTAAAAGTGGTTTCCTGCCTTACTATCTCAGTTTGTAATGTTGCATCACCTGAAAGTTTTTCCTTGAACTTGACCATTTAACAAACTCTGGCATCCAACACACCTGAGTAATGAATGACAACTCTGGAACTTCCTACTCAGGTAGCTATGACCCCTGCCAAGCTCAGTGTCACTGTCTATAAAATGGAGCCCAGAGTATTTCCCACTGCGTGGTGTGATGGAAGGAGAGCCGTATGCACAGCACTCAGCCTCACAAACAGCTGGCATTCACTGGTTCTTACATTACCAATGGCAGCTCCTAAATGCACATATAGCTTCCTGTACTGCAGCCCAGGCTGTAGGGTTCTCCTCAATTCCTATCACTAAAAAGTGACCAGCAGTTTGTCCTATTCCCTTATAATCCTAGATTTCCATTTGGAATAAATCTAAACTAATGCCTACCGGAGTTTACATAAGAACAGTTACCTACGGTAACCAAGAAAATGCTACCTTCAGAATATTTAAGAACTTTCCCTCAGGAAGGATTTTAATGGTTGGTATTTCAGGCTTTGAAATTGATAAGAAAGATTTTTGCCTAAAGGATAAGAGTGAAAAACATGCCTTTGGTGATGACCCTCAAATCACACCACACCTTTGCATAAAGCCAAGGTAGCTCAAGATTGGTATAAAACAGCCCCAAATGAGAATCTAAGTCATGAGGTGGCAAAATATGGGCCTCAGGCAAGTTCACTGCCTGTTTATACTGGAATGTAGTCATATATTTCTATGGCCACTGTCCCAAGACAACAGCAGAGATGAGTAGCTGCAAATGAGGCTATATGGCCCATTATAGAAAAATGACACCAATCCCTGCTAAGTTACAGTTCCCCTCACATTTGTGTCCTGTTTCAACAAAAGGTATATTTGTTATAGGAAGGAGAAACTTAGAAAACTGTGTCCTGCTGGCATGAAAACAAAAGAACAAAACAAACAAAATAAACAATAATTTGCAGCCTGCACAAAAGGAGATTAATGCCTGAATACTGATTGATTCTTACATGCTTATTTCCCCCAGGACTGCCCCTCCAAATACACTTTTAGAACTTTAAAAATGGACTGATGTCTATGTCAACAGCAGGGTAATAAAATAAACTTGCTTGGTCACACCTTAGGTTTTTCATTTAATAAAACAAAACACTATGGTAAAATGTTTTTTCTAGGTGCTGAACCTAGTTCAGATATTAAGGTTTTCAATGTCACATTAATGAAACCTCAATTCTATGGAAAATTCATCTTAAACAAAGGCCATTCTGTGTACAAAGTGGGTGGAAAAAACACACCTATTAATATTTATAAAACAATTTTCACCATCAAAAGCACATTGTTACATGCTTGACAGATTATACAAATGAATTTTCCTTCTGAACAAATATCAAAGAAAGCTGAAGTATTCATATTCAGAGTGTTTTTGTGTTTTTGTTTAGTGGTGTGAGATTCTGTGAGCTGCTAATTCAACAACCTGATGAAGAACATGCCTGGCAGTTAGCAGCCCCTGACTCTAGAGTGTTAACAGAAGAATGTGCCACAGGATTAAACAAAAGAAAAATACATTTCAGAGGGGAGACTCACATATAAAAGAAACATAAAAGCAGCAGGAAATAGGATTGTCATAATTAGTTTGAAAAATAATCTGTCTTCAAATAATGTACTTCATTTGACTTGTGATAAATAACCATAATGTGTTATTGAAACACACCCTGCCAAGATGGTCTTAAAATGCTGATACTTTTAAATTAGTCCCACTTTCCATTAAATATTGATGTTCCAAGAGTTATATACTTTTCAGAACTTTTCTTTAGTTGCTGTGAAAAGAGAAAATAGATATGAGGCGGAGGGGGTTTAGGGGGTTGGTAGAGAACTGAAAATGTTCTTGAAAATAGAATCTTGTGTATAAAGAGAGAAACGGAGAGAAACACCCACCAACAACATGGGCACTTGCTAACACGAAGCCACAGGGTGGTTATTTAGGGAAATTAATCTGAAGAAAGAAAGGAATTTGATGTGTCAGTTAACTTTGGATCACCCAGCCTTAATTCTCATGGAATCTTGGCCAGACAGTCACTGTTTTAAATTGGGTTTTATTCCTTTAGCTCAGTGAATGGCTTTGTGCTACAACTGATGAAAGATGCCTTAGAGCAGGAATTCTTCATCTTGGGGCTACTGACATGTTGGGTAAGATCATATTTTGTGGGGGAAGGAGGGCTGTGTTGCACACTGCCAGGGTGTTGAGTGACATACCTGGCCTCTACCTACTAGAATCATGTACTATCCTGCACCCTTGTGACAACAAAAATGGCTGTTAACTAGACTCATGGTGGTGAGCACATTAAACCATTATGTTGCATATAATGTGTTATTTTATGGCAATTATATCTAAATTTTTAAAAAATGTCTTTAAACATTGCCAAACATTCTCTGAAGGACAAAATGCCTACCCTTCCTGTTAAGCAGAAAGACAGACATGAGCAGCGGGGAATGAAGTTCAAGGAAAGAGCTGTCCAAACTACCCAGGAAGGGGGTCCTATGTGAAGACAACAAAGGCTTTGCAGGAAGATAACTTCTTGCCTACTGGGACAAGGCCAACCTGTCCTAACCAGGTCCTAACATGGACACAATCGAACAAAACTAAGAACAACCCAAACCAACTAACCTCATAATCTCATAAAATAAAACTGTGTTTTTGCTCCCCATCCCCAGTGGGCTTTTCTGTGTGCATTCTGGCAAAAGACACGTGCACCAAAAGGAATGGATATAGAACTACAGCTGTCAATCAAAGACTTTATCCTGTCAATCAAAGGAAGTGCATCCAGCTAAGCAGTGATAAATAGACCCTCCCCTAAAAATTCGTGGCCTTTGTTCTACCTTGACTCTGGCCACTCCCTCTGTTGGAGTGAGTTCAAATAAAATTTTTGCTCTGCTTCGCTATTGTGTCTGCCTTTCAATTCTTTGTTTTGGTGGGGAAAAGAATGGAGGCGAACAAACTCAACCAGCAACATTCCCATTGAGAAACACTAAAGATACCAAAAGAAGGAGTCTGTGTGTAGGCAGATCTATCTACAAGAAGGAAGAAATGAAAGGGCATAAAATTGCAAAGTGGCTTGCAAAATCAATGAATGACTGAGTGAATGGCTAGGTTGATAAATAAATAATGATAACAAGTTGCTTTTAATGTGACCACAGGTTTAATGAATTAATTTTGGCCCTGCAACTGGAAAAGCAAGGAAAATAGTTCATTCATTTCTCTTTGACTAATAAACAGCTTACTTTCATTTCAATAGAAGTTAATTCATTCTAGTAGAAATCTTTTGATTCAGTGTCCCTTCAGCCCCTGAGAAACTGCCTCTCTCCTACACCCTGTGCTTCCAGCTCAGCGATTGGTCTAGGCATGGACATGTGACCCAAGCAGGGCCAATCAGAATCATTACAAAGATCACTGTGCTTGCTGGAGGAGAGTGATGAGAACAAGAATACATTTCTGCTGCTCTCCAGTAAGCCTGGCTGACAAAGAAGGCGAATGGGAGACAAGCAGGGCTAGAAGACCGGAGAATACTGATTCTTGTATTGCCTTAAGCCAGTCCACTCCTTACACTTCTCTGTTATATGAGTAAAATAAGTACCCCTTCCCCTACCCAGTGATTTTTTTTTTAACAAAAATTAGGCTGATGTAGGTTTCTGTCACTAACAGCCATTAAAATCTGTCACTAAACTACACTACAGTCACTAGTGCCAAATAATTCTTCCTTGAATCAAATTATTAATCACTTTAGAAAAAATAGTTCTTGGACTGTACTTCTTTCTCCATGTCAAAATTCCCATGGATGACATAGCAGCGCAGATGCTGGCAAGGACCCTGCTCTTCATTCAGCCAGGTATCACCTCTTGCAAACAGATGACCAATCACCTGGATCTTTAAAAAAGTTTCCTCATGAAACGACGGAGGACTGAAGAAATAGAGGGTCTGAAATGAATAACTTTAAATGTTTGGTGTGGCACCAAGTCCCTAAAACATCTAAATTAAAAGAGCCATTATTAAATCAAACTTTTAATGTGAAAGGTCATATGTTCTTCTGTTACTGATATAAATGGAAAAAATTTTAATATTCAGATTATAAATATTAAGATTACCAATATGTCTAAGAAATAAATGACTGTTTTTACAGCTCCTAAACAAAGGATTGCTTTAGGGAACTATGACCGTGATGAAGGATCAGTATGTCCATTTGGTCATTAATCACCATTTCCTAATTGGGTTTAATTTGACTACTGCTCATTAGAGTTATAAACCAACACACTCATTTAACTGTGATTATAATTCAATAGCCGAACTTTTATGGTACAATGAACAAATTAATTGCTGAAGCTAATTTTGCTCTTAAAAATATCACGTAAGACATGTTTTAATGAACTGTGTACATAGACTGTATTTTATGACAATTCCTTCAGAAAGCTAAAAAATTTTCCTTCCTCTTCATAATCAAAAACTTCGGGTTTCATGAAGTTTTACAAGCACTTTCTAGGAAAAGGTTCTTATACCCCTATTCTCTGCTGCCAGACCACAATCTTAAATTGACAACATCCCAAAGGGTTGAATAAAAATAGTATTATAGCCTGACTTCTATCCCACTTTTTTGGTCTGTATTTCCTTTTTTTTTTTAATATGAAATAACCATGTTGCTTGTGCATACTAGTTTGAAAAGCAGTATACGACCTTTAAGAATTTATATTGAACTTTCCTCTCTTGCATTTCTTGGATTTAATTATCAGCCACTCGATGCAGCATGAATTTTGACTGACACTCCCAAACTGGAAACTATTTTCAGATCACTGATGAAAGCAACCAAATAGTTTAAGTGGGAAAAAGAAAAGAAATCAGGCCACTAGGCAAAATAGTTCCCCTTTAAATGACCTACCACAGATTTTTACCTGGTGATCACTTGTGTAATCCATGAAATACATTATTTTCAATGGCTTCCAAAACATGAGCTCTCTGCCTATCCTAATCAGAAACCTTAAAAATAATTAGGCAAAAAGATGAAATCTATACTGGACTACTTTTGTACTACCGGAGAAAGCAAATATATTTATGAATGGCTGGGACTGAACTATTTTCTCTCTGACCCTGGATACTTAAACACCAGTCGCCTCATTTTGACAACCACCCTAAAAGATAGTTCTCATTTTCACCACATTTTTGGATAAAAAACAGACCAAAAAAAAAAAAAAAACCCCTGAAGCTGACCACAGGTCTCCGACCTAAACAAGGCAGATCCAGAATCTGAAGCCAGGCCCCTCCATGAACACTGTGCCATCCACCTTGGTCTACCACTTGGTTGTATTTACATGTGACAGATTACCTCACTTATCAATCCAATGGCAAATCCCTACTTACTGACTGCCCACAACCTGCTAGAAAGTGTGCAGGACACTGGGAGTAAAACATATTGAAAAAGACAAGGTTCTGGTGTCACTATCCTATCCACCTGATATCACAGGCCCTCCCCCAAACACACATGCATATCACAAGCTTTTGCTATTGAGTTAATAAGAAGTTACTGAATACCTGCTGTATTTAAGACACAGTGCAATGGCGGTGGGTGCCTGACACAAAACAGTTAATGATACTCTGCAAGAACCTGATGGATAGGAGAAACCATCCCCACAAAAATGCCTCCTTCTCCCACCTGAAATAGAAACTGGTAACCAGGTAAGGTGACAGAACTGAATGGTGGTGCCTTAAGGGCTTCACCATGATGATGGAAATCCAAGAGGGGACGCAAGGTGAATTTATACAGATTTAAGGACACTGAAAGGCTTTAAGCAGTGCCAGCTGCATAATAAAAGCAGGCACATTCAGTACACTCAAGCGCAGTGGCGTGGTTCCCACCCAAATCTTAACCACAGGAGCAGCAGTGCTGGGCTTGAGAAAACAAGACGGTGAGGTTGAATGGATGTTTCTAATAATATGAGAACTAGCTTCCTCTGAGGCTTGGCATTTAGCTACCCACAAACTCAACTGCTGACTTGTTCAACTGCATCATGGGAGTATTTTAAACTCTGGCAAAAATTAAATTACTGAAAGAAATTAATGCAAAGCTTTTACTACAGTCTTTTGTACAATTTAATTTATAGTTTGCATAAATAATTATATTCATTTGTTTTCTCTCTTTCTCTCTCTTTTTTTTTTTTTTTGTTACCTTGTCCTTGTGGAGTTTCACCAAAGGGATTCACTTCCACCTGGGTAGCATCAATTTTCAGGAAGAGATTATACAGCTTCTTAATTTGATCTGCAGCCTAAATGGAATCAAGTAAAAACGAAATTACACCAAAGCAGTAAAAGAACATTTATTTTGCTGGATTAATAAAACCTTAAAAATAGCACGTAATGTCTTTTATTTTCAGTTAGGTTTTCTGAAGGGAAAAAGAGAAAAGCATAATTATTTTAATTTGCACTGCTATTCATTAGAAGGCATTGCTCGACTTTGCTCCAGACACAAGAAAAGACCATTATCAAGAAAACAAAGTATTTTCAGTACAGCCTAAAAACATTGTTAATCTTTTTATAAATTATCATGTCCCTATTAGCCAAGCTATGCTACAGTATGAGTTAGAATTGTTAACACAAACAAGCTCTACTTAAATAAAAGGTAAACATGATTTTGAGTTTATGATGACTAGGCTATCATTATTATGCTGGAACAAAAGTTATTACATTTATCAATCCAAACTGATAACCTGTGAAACAACAACTACTGAGTACCTAATGGAAATTGTTGCAAAACAGTAAGATGAAAATCCTAAACAGTACAGTTACTGATGAGCAGAGTTTAAACTGAAAATAGTTTGTCCCAAAGGCATAAACCACAAAGAGCAAGAATATCCAAAGTTTTGCTACTGGTATGCCCCAATTTTGTTTTTCTCACTATGCTTGAAAGAAAGACATCATGCACGAGGCATGACATCACCCTGGAAAGCTCACACCGACATACAGAGAACACAACCAGTGAGCCAATACATCAAGACTGGCAGTCATGGCTGAATGTAGAGTATCAGTCTCATTCCTCCCTCCATCTGATATCCTAGCCATGGCTTTCCCTTTGTCACATTTTTGTTGTGGACATAAATAAATACATAATGAGTAAGACTGAATATTTCTTAATATTAATTTTTATTCTGTCTAGATAATACATGATAGAAAATTCTCACAGTACACAAGGGCCTCCCTGTGAATGTTCACTGGACTCCCCAGCCACTCATCTCCCCATCTCTCCTCCTGCAGCAGCCACCTTACCCACTGGTGTTTCACTGAGGTATTCATGTACAAGTATGCATATTCTTCATTCATCTTTTTTAAAAAACAAAATAAGGATCTATACCTTGTTTCTTAATAGATTTTAGAGAGCCTCATGAACAACACAAATAAATTGATTTTGTATTAAAATTCATTTAACCTCCCTCTTAAATAACGGCAATTTGGTTTCCAATAGTTTGACATTACTTAAAAAGCTGCCTTATCGGTCTCTGTAAGTGTATCATACATGTAATTAAACATGTCAGATAAATTCCCCAGAGTGGGGCAAAAAGGGGTATGGGCATTTTAAATAACAAAAGATTATCTTAAATTATTCTTAGGAGAAGTTGTTAATAATTTCAGCTCCCACAAACCAATTATCAGAGAGTCTGTTTCTCTACTCAAAACCACCAGCTATCTGGATCTTTGCCAGGGCGCTAAGTGAAAATAGGCATATCATATATAGTTTTAATTTAAATTATTCTTATTATGAATGAATTTCTATGAGCTTAAAGAGACACTACATTTCCTTTTCTGTGAATTATGCCCATTATTTTTCTGTTGAGATTATAGTCTTTTCTTATTGATTTACAAGAGGTGATTTTACATCAAGGAAACTGACTCTTCATCTCACTTATTTGCTTCTCCTTTAACATTTATTTTTGCTCATGTTTTTGTAATTTCTGCCACATGGAAACGTGATAATAGTAATGACATTCTTTTATTTAATGGCTTCTGGCTTTGTGTCAGACTTTAAAAATGCAGGTCCTACTCTGATAATATTAAAACAATTCTCCCATTATTTTTTCAAATACTTTTAAGATTTCCTTTATTGAATGTTTACTTTTTATGTAATCCAAGTTGATTTTATTAGGGTTATAGTGCAAAGCTGATAAGTAACTCACTGTTGAATATTCTTTATATTTTTAGTTTTCTAGCTCACCAAATGGGCTTGTAATGTGATCTGTACAAGAGAGGCACACTGCCCACCCTGGACTCCATGGCATCTACTACACCTGTACAGCCTCTGCACAGAGGCAACACTTAACAAATATTGGTTGAATTAGTGATTAATTTAATAATAAAGAGAAACTATATAATAGAAATAACTTCTGCTGCATTTATACACATATATATGATTTTATCCCACCTACTTTAAGACTTTTTTTAAATACACATAACCTAAAATTCATAATCTCAACCATTTTCAAATGAACAGCTCAGCAGTGTCAAGTATGTTTACACTGTTGTGCAACCAAGCTCCACATCTTTTTCATCCTGCAAAACTGAAACTGTACCCATTAAACAACTCCTCATTCTTTCCTCCCCAGGTGGACTACTACCTCCCCAGTCTGACTCATCTAGATACCTCATATAAATGTTATCATATGTACCTGTCTTTGCAAACTGGCTTACTTTACTTAGCATTACATCCTCAAGACTCATCCATGCTGCAGCTCACATCAGAATCTCCCCATTTTTCAAGGCTCAACAACCTTCTTTTATATGTATATTCCACATTTTGTTTATCTATTCATTTGTCAATGGACACCTGGGTCTCTTCAACATTTCTTAGGCCTATATACACCGAGCTTAATGCAAAGCCTGAATTATCTGCACACTAATGCCATTGTAATTATATATCAATGCAGCACTTCAGGGGTACTTGCTATTATAAATGTTTATTAATGTACAACAGACTATAAACATTTTGCAAGATCTGTAAGATATATGTGTTATAAATTCTGGCTTATAAGATCTAAAAAGGAGAGCCCATCTGGCTTGGAGACAGAACCTGCTTTATTCCAGAGGCTATACACTGAATGACTATAAAGGTTAGGCAGGCAAAATGTGTCAGTCTGACCAGGTGTAGTAATTGTAAATGGCAGGGCCTGTGGCAAAGTTGAGGTCAGCTCCCTTGCTTTCTAAATGTTATTTTAAAAGCATTTTTTAATTTAGTTAAAAAATAAATTAAATTCAAGTCAAAGAAAACATTCTTACTTTTAACTTGCAGTCAACCAGTCTGTTGCTATCATCTACTTCCGCAGTTCCTGACCACACTGTGCAGAAAATCTTTCTTTCCTTTGGCCACCAATTAACATTATTTTAAGATTGTTTGAAAAGCAATTAAAAAAAAAAACTAAATGCTTAAAATCAAATAGCCTTGAGTCCGTATGCATAAAACCCTGTCAGATTTACAAATATCTTCAAAAATCTTTTAACAGGTTAAAAATTTGTGATATTTTCTTGTATTCCAGGAACTAAGTCATCAACATTCACATATGGCTCTGAAAGACAGCCAGAGGTACAAACCACTCCCAGAGGTGGTAGTGATCTTGTTATTAAAACTTGGTCCATCGAATCTTTCCATTACTAGAGACACATGTTAAATTCATAGTACCTGTGTTTCCAGAAATTAATAGTATAGATGATGATTAATACATACCTGAGAAACTTGTGAATTTTTAGTTATATTCAGCTTTACTGTGGCTTTATTCTTTTCAACAAATTAATGCTGGAATGGACTTTCATCAGAAACATGTACTTGGTGCTTTATATGCAGGGCAGGGCGGTACTTATTTTTTGTTAAGTCTAATATTATCACGTCACATTTAGAAACAATAGGCATGAATCACAGGAATGATATTAATAATCTTACAGGATAATAATTTTTTAAGCTGTTCAACCATGAGTAAGGTGCTTCCAAATGCCTAAACCACATGAAAATTAAGTAACTTTCAAAGTCACATTGACTCTAAAGGGCCTCACCTCTAAGACATCATTTTTTTTTACCAAAGGATCACCAACTGATGATGGTTTAAATGTTATCGCTTTTCAGGAGCCTCCTCTGCTCACTCCACACCGGGTTTCTGGAACACCAGTCCAATCCTCATAGCTGAAGGAAGCATCTTAAAGCAGAGATTCCCAAGTCTACAACTCCAACACATGATTTTCTCTGAGCTCCTGTGCCATATATTCCTCTTTCTACTGTATACATATAACTTGGTGTCCCTGGACAAACAAATTCTAACAAAACTTGTCTACACAGACACAGTCAGGATCTGTGGGCTGGACTGAAGGCAGTGCAGGACTGTGATGCTCAAGACAGACTCTCTCCCTTAACAGCATGGAGGACAACTTTTCTGTCTTTGATGCCAAGTGATATATTTACTAAATGGGCATACTTTAAAGTGTTTTCAGTGGGGTATCACTATCATGCCATTAATATTCATTTCAAATGCCCATTAGCTATGAAAGAATAGCAATTAGTTGAGTAATGTACATTACTAATATCAATAATAATGGACCTTACTGGAGTACTGAACAAGAACTTTCACTTAACTGTGTACCAATCCTCACAGTAACTCTCAGGATTTAATCATTCCCATTTTGCAGATAATGAAACTGACTTTCACATGGGTTGAATCACATACATGCTGGGTGGCAGTACAAGATTAGAAGTCAGGTCTACCTAACTTTACAGACTGTGCTTCTAACTACTCTGCAGCATCTTATAATTCATGGACTGGAACTACCGTTCTAAAGAATAAATAGAAACTAATGTTCATATCAAAGTATGTGTGTCTGTGTGTGACACACTTGCACACATACACACAAACTGATATACAGCTGATCCTTGAACAACTCAGGGGTTAGGAGTACTGACCACCCTCTACCCAGTGGGCAGCTGAAAATCCTAACTTTTAACTTCCAAAAACTATGAATAGCCTACTGTTGACTTGAAGCCTTACCAGTAATATGAATACGTATTTTGTCTAAGTATTATATTTTGTATTCTTATAACAACGTAAGCTAGAGAAAAGAAAATGTTTTTTCAAATTGGTATAATCTCCAGACTTTCTCCAATATATTTACTTTAAAAATTTGATGCATAAGTGGATCCATGCAGTTCAAACCCATGTTGTTCAAAGGTCAACTGTATATATAAACATATATGTCATAAACATCCTCTTTAGAGACACCAGGGAAGTGTTTTCTCCATCATAAACAACTGGAAGAAAAAAAATTATGAAACAATAGATAATAATGTTTCCTGGTAATTATAACCATTAGAGGCAATCAAACAAGTTACCAGATATTTTCTGAAACAGACACACAGGCCTCCAATCACTCATTTACCTGGTTTTTCAAAGGCCCAACAAAGCCTAGATTTTCTGCCATCCGCTGAGCTTGGCTGTCCTTTATCCCTTCAATAATGTCAATTTGCTCCTACGAAAAATGAATCAAATAAGCAAAATTCAGACAGTCAAATGAGAAGATTTACAACCTCAAAAAAAAAATGCTTAGTATTTATTTGCAAATGAGTAATTAAGGTGTGGCACCTTTCCAGAAATCTCTGAGCAGGGCTACTGCAGCTGCCTATAGGGTATATTTTAATTAGCAGACCATCTATAAACAGCCTTTCCAAAAACTATGTAATTCTTCAGGGTGGCATGCTGACAACACAATTGGATGCCAGTTTTCACTTTTAATTACTATACAGATGGCATTGATGAATATTTAGTCAGTTAATTTTTATGACATCTTTTGGAAGGCTTCCAAGCTAACGTTTTCCTGCCTAACACTGCTGTTAAGTTTAGAGTGTGTCATAGATAGGTTAAATATTACCTTATGATTTAAACACTCTATTGATGATGATAATTACTAATTAGATCCACAAAGTGCCATTCTCTCCAAGATCCTTATGCTGTTCATATACATTGTTTCATGTAAACTCTGAGCATGATAGTTTTGAAAATACAAAGGTTTTACTGGTAAACCAGCATGGAAAGTCTTCATGTAACTTCCAGAGTAGTTAACTGAAATACGTAACATTAGTGAAAATATTTTAAAACTAATCAGTAAAGTATTAGTACCTTACCTAAATGAACACATTCAAGAAATAAAATTCTTCCCTTTTGAAGGGAAACAAAATCACTTTCTAAAAGAAATAATGGTTTCCGCTAGAAATTTTCGTGTGTGGGATTTTTGATACTAAGAACCCAGAATCAAAAGCTGGAATTATAGTTGTAAGGATCTTAGCTGTTTCTTCTTATAATTGAGGTAGGTTGAAAAACACTTCATGCACATTACCTCATTTAATTTTTACAATTGGTGGAAATTATCCCCATTTTCATTTCACTGATTCAAAAAATGAAAGTTAGAGACACCGAGAACTTTGCTGGCTAGTTAGGATTTGACCTCAGGTCTTTTTTGACTAGAAACTAATCTTAATATCAATAAAAAGGACAAGATTTAAAGGACTGAGGCAAATAAATAGAATCTGGACTTCAAAAAGATCCTGTTTTACGTCAACAGTATTGAGAAACATGAAGGCAGTCTCCAGTTCACATCTTTTCTCCTAGGTGACAATTTCTGGATCATACATACTGTTAAATGGAATAGAATTAACTAAGAGGAAATGGAAGTGTCACATTCCCCCACTGGTTAATTCTTAGAGCAGGTGGAATTGAAAGCAATAAGATAGGGAGAAAAAGCGGGAAGGAAGAAAAAAGGAAGAGAAGGAAAGAGAACTTGCTTGAATAATCAATACCTTGGTACCCCTCAAACTTCAACTAGAAGCCCAGTAAGAAAAAAGGATTCAACATCTTCAAGCCTTAAATCTCAGCAATAGATGTATTGCTACCAGCCACAGGCACAACATTAAATCTTCAACAGCTTGTAAAACAACAATCAATGAACACAGCAGAATAAGAGATCCAAACATACCTTAAAAATAAGTTCTGGATTTGAAGCTGCCACTTCTTCAATGTCAACACCCCCTTGAGGGCTGCCCACCAGTACAGGGCCATTGCAAGACCGGTCCATCAGAATCGCCAAGTATGTTTCTCTGGAAATATCCAAGGCTTCGGCAACCATCACCTACCACATTAGTAGGAAAGTCAAATTAATTCAGCATTGAGCTGATTTCCACTTACAAATCTATACAAATTTGCTACGCAAATCAAACAACTTCATTTCTGGGCACTTTAAATCCAGTCAGTTACGTTCCAGAGATTTGAGTTCTGCTCTCATTGTGCACAATGCCCATTTTCACCTCCTTAATTGATCCTGTTAACTTATTCAAGTGATAGGTATTTGGTTTGCTTCAAGGAACCGTCCCACTTTAATCTTTTTTTCTTCCTTGAGAAACCCTGACAATTAAGGAGAACTCCAGGGAAGCAGCTGGTATTTTAATTTGAGACATTAACAGTACATATATATTACTACATTGATTTTTCTCAGACTGCACTGGTAGAAAACCAAGTTTGGTTGCCAGAGAAGGATTCTTTTTGCAGTATGTCTAATGCTTCATATGTTTGTATACGTTTGTCTCTTGGATCACTGTATTTTTATTTTAATTTATACTTTTTTAGAAATTACAAACATAATGTCTGCTTGTTCAAAAAAAATGTGAACAGTACCAAAAGTATATAAACAAGACACTGAAAACAGCTTGCGCATGCACATCTCATGGGCCACAGAAGTCAGAGTGATCATAAGCCCTTATGGAAACTTTGTGATAATCAGAAAAAGTTGCCCCTTCCTCTGAGAGAATGAGGACACATGCCAGGACCTACCTGGGTAAGAAGTGGAATGCAAGGATTACATTCTCCACTCCCTGCCTCAGCCAGGTGCCCTTTTGCTCTGCAGAACCTCAACAACTGCATGCAGCAGTCCTACCAGGATAAACCACTACTCATTTTTTATCTTTTTCCAATGTATCTGCAAGCATTATGTAATGGAATTATCCTATATTAGAGGCACATTATATATATTTTGAATGCCTTTCTTTCTTGTTTTGGATCCTAATGCTACAACTTAGACATCTTTCCAAGGTCCACTGTGACTGTATGATACTTACATGTCAATATTTAACCATATCCTTACTGACATTTATGTGGAGTTTAATTTTTCTAAAATGCTAATTCAGTGATTATTTTTGTACATATATCTTTGCTCATTTGTTTTAGTATCCCTTAGATAAGGTACCTAGAAGTAAAGTGGCTAGGTTTTAGACTTTTCACATTTAAAATTTTGATAAGCACTATCAAATTGCCCTGGAAAGAGGCTGTACTAACTTACACTCCTAATTAATATGGCAAAAGATTTCTTAAATGATGTTAAAAAAAACATAACACTCTTAAATAATCAGCTCTAGAAGTGAAAATGATAAAAGCTTACACTGCTTTTCTTACAAGCAATTCAGTAATAGGTTTTACCAAAAAAAGTTACAGATTAAAAAGCATTAGACTTCAGCTACTTAAATGCCACAAAAACATTAATTTTTAAGTCACATGAAATGGGATTAATATACGCTGATCTAAAAAGCCATAATGTAATTAATACATGTTGAACTTCTTCTTCAAACCTATATGGAATTTATAATCAGTTAAAAATAAAATACATAAAAAGGGGCTTCATATTGATTCTTTTATCATAAAGGGTAACTCCTGAGTATGTAAGAAAATTTCTTGGCACACAGTGTTAGGATTTTCATAGAACCATTCTGTTTTCAAGTTCACTTTCTAATACAGAAATAGTTGAGTGAATGATTTTTAATGATTTTCAGTAGTTATTCTGACAAGCAAAACATAATTTTTTAGGATAAGTGTCATTCAAGAATCCTATTCTTAATCTTCTAAAATGTTGACAGATGTGCTCTGCATTCCCTCAAGTTTCTATTTGTGAAGAGCAGCTGCTATCTCAAACAGCTTTTGCTCGGTAGAAATAATGTATTACTCTTTAAGGAAACATTCCCAGGAAAATTATGATTGTCTAAAGATAATTCAGGAAATTTTATATAAAGACCAAACTTCTTGACATTATAATGCCCTCCATATAACTCAGGACATCAGAATATTCTATCAATTGTTAGAGAATCTGAATGGTCTCGATGAACCGTCATGCAATGAGAAGCTCCATTAGATACATTTCAAAAATGTGACTTTATCTGTGATTAACCAAACAATATTGTCAACACGGCCTTTCTGTGGAGTCCTCCAGGAAGGAAAGCTTTTTAACTTATTTACCCTATTTGACCACTGAATCTGTTTTTTTCTTTTAATATCATGCTACTCAAATAAAGGGCTGTGGATAGCACCAGTGCACAAACTCTTTGTAACAGAACTGTGATTACAGAAGATTAAAAGTATACTCAGTTTCTGCACTTAACTCTTACTGGCCGTGCCACTAAGTGCCCCTTATTGGCCGTGAACCATGGACAGCATAATGAGTAGCCCTGTGGTTGCCTACCCATTACTATCCCAAGCAACACACCATTGATACACTGTACGCATTTAGAAAAAAATGTCTGATGTATATAAATGTATGTATGTGTTTAAATAGCTTCTCAAATAAACTTAGAAATCTAAAGTTTATATAGATAGGGATTTCTGACTGATCTCTTTGATTTCATAAGTAAAAAATGCATGCTCTTAAAGTTGTATGTGTTAGTTATAGAAATGTGGCAATATACATTTAATTAATTTTTTTTATGCAACCTTGTCAGCTAGCCCATGTGCTATATATATAAGATTATAGACACTGTGAGGCCAGCCTCAGTATTTCTTTTCCTCCTTTTTTGATCACGAAGAAGAGTGCTCAGATCTGATGGGAATAGGAACTGGAGAATGCCACCATACATTTTACACAGAAACACATACGACAATTATTTCTGGGTGATGAAAAAACAAGGAACTTTTACTTTCTAATTTTTATATTTCTATACTATTGGAATTTGACACATATGTTAACTACTTTCCCAATCAGAAAAAAACAACTTAAAAATAAATCACTGGAGAAATTTCTTGGCAATGACTCAATTTACAAGAATGCACCTATCACCAGTCTTTCAGGAACCTATCTACAAACTAATTTTATCCATTACCATATAGTGTAAATCTGCTTGGGTATTTTTATAGGCTTTTAAAAAGTATCACAAACTCTAATCTAAAATCCTGTGTCCTTCCAAGAAGGGACTAACAGTTACCAAAGGGAAGGGGATAGGGAGGGTGGGTGGGAAGGGAGGGAGAAGGGGATTAAGGGGCATTATGATTAGCACACATAATGTAGGGGGGCACAGGGAAGGCAGCATAGCACAGAGAAGACAAGTAGTGATTCTAGAGCATCTTACTACACTGATGGACAGTGACTGCAGTGGGGTATGTAGGGGGACTTGATAACATGGGTAAATATTGTAACCACAATGGTGCTCATGTGAAACCTTCATAAGACTGCATATCAATGATACCTTAACACAAATTTTAAAAAACAAAATTAAAATTAAAAAATAAAAATATAAAAATAAAACCCCCTGTGTCTATATAAAACAAATTCCTACAAACAAATACATTGATCAGGTCTTCTATGGACAAATTTTGAAGAAGGTACAGACAGGTAAAGACTTATAGCCAGATTTAAAAGGGAAATAAAAGTACTCTGCCAGGCTGAACAAAAACAAATTTAAAAAACAGTTCTTGTACCTTCTTGAGAGGCAGTGGGAAAGGGATATAACCATAACCATTTTGTCTGTTCGCTTCTTTCACATTTTGAAAGGCTCTGTGTTCTTAGAGTGAAGGGGTAATGACCTGCCAGCATTCCCAATCTCCCTTCAGCTCAGTGTCCTTTTCGGGGCCAAAGATGGTGTACTAAGAACCAACTGGTGAGGGTTTTTTTGTTTGGTTTTTTTTTTTGGCCATGTCAAGAACTTTCCCCACAATTTTCCCTAAAAAGTAAAAACAGAATGCACTGCCTCAGTTTTCCCAAGCATGGCATAGTGGTGGAGACCATCATCCGTGATGCTATATCAACATAGCAGACAGCTGCCTCCCCAAAACGCTGGGCCCCACTCACTGTAATGGCAGGGCTTTCTAACCATCTGGGCCTCCCAAGCCTCGGTGTGTGACCACACAGGGCCTATGCTAAAGAGTATCTCACTCTTGGTGCCTCAGTGTAATGTTCTCTGTAGCTGACTTGAAATTTGAACAAAATCCCTGCATTCGTATTTCATACTGGGTCTTACAAATCAAGCAGCCAGTTCCGGTGAAACTGGAAGGGATATAGCAAAGGTGAACAGATAGGAAGAGAGTTATGTTCTGGCCTCAGCTCTGCTACTCACAATGTCAGGACTGAGGCCACTTTACCTGCAGCTTTATTTTGTGTGTGTACACCCTGCACACATCTGGCTGCCCCAAAAGACCTCCCTCATACAACAAACTTCTGATAACAGTGGCTTAAAATGGCAGTAATCTCAAAGTAATGTAGAGGGACACTTAGAAAAACAACCCTCACAGATATTTCTGATACACAGGATGAGGGTGGGTTATGGGGGAGCAGAAACTGCCTGTCATTGCGTGTAAGAGCCGGCATACCAAGCCCTTCTCAGCTTTAAAGACAATGTGTGTGTGCTCTAAAGGGAAAGCTATTGTTTCAATCTCTCACCCCCACCCACTTTAAGTAAATGCTGACAATAATAAACACTATTACTATTACAGAACCCTTTTTAGTTCTCCTCGAAGTCACACCACATACAGATTTTATGAGGTTTAAAAAATAAACAGTGCATTACCAATGTGCAGTGCTTCATTAGATTCAGTCAAAGCTGAAGTATGGCTTTTTCTTTTTTTTTTAATACATCACACAGAAAATGACTAAAAGCATTCATATTACCTTGTTAACTTTCACACCTTCTTTGGGAGTTTGTTTTGTTGCTAGATTATATCCAATCATCTGTTTAGCCAGCTGTCCTACAACTTTAGGGCTAAGAAAGAGAGAAAAAGAAAATTATTGTCTATAATGAACATCATTTTAAGCAGAGTTCATATTTTATCTTCATGTCCGCACAGCACAGGGTCCACCCTTACCCTCACAGAGTCCATGGGGCTTCCTGCTCTTATATCTTATATTATGGGCCCAGCACTGTACCAGAGAATGAGAGAAAACTATATATGAAAGAATGGATGATGAATAAAAAAGAAAGAAAGAAAGGATACTTGTTTACCTCTGCTATCCTCTCCCCTAACTAAGTTACAGTCATAGTGAAGTCACAATACTGAAATGTATAACAGATTTAGGTAAGACTCTATTCAGTGCTGAGACACATGGGAGATAAAGCTGAAAAGACAGGTGCCTTTACATAAAGCAAGGCTTGGACTATCAGATACAAGGGACAACTGAGGCCACCGGTAATGGAGAGCCACTGCAAGTTCCTGATAAGGAAGTAACCTTATGAAAACAGCATTTAATTGTAAGTGATATCATTTCCAACATTTATGATGAATCAGTGATTCTCTAAGACAGAAAGAGTGTCAAGTTTTCACCAATTAGTAAAGAAAAATTCTTTTATGGCAGCAGAAGGGAAACTGTGGCATTGTCAGAGCCCTCTACCTATAATTTATTTCCTCTGTTTGCTGTCCTGCTCCTCCCCAATTCCAACTCTCTTTCTCAGTGCTCCTTTCAACCATGTGCAAGAGCTTCTCTAACGGCATGGCCCAAGGACAAGGAATCAAAAACTCCAGACTTACTCTTTCGTTAAATGAACGCCTCCTTTCAAACCACTACTGAAGACACCTTTTCCTCTTCCTCCAGCTAAGATCTGGGCTTTTAAAACAATTTCTTTAGCATCTGAAAAAGAAAATGTAGAGTTGGCAGCTGCTTTTTATATTTTTTTAAGCAACAAGGAATATGGTATTGACATATGACTTAAAAAGTGGCAAAAGCTCTCTCAAAACATCTTTGAAAATGAAGGCAATAAAGAAAAAAAAAATCAGTGCACCTAAATACAAAGACCGTTTATTGAGAACATCCAAATATTTCCTACCAGCTTAATCTAATACTCCACCATCCCAAGGGAAAGCAAGGCATGTGCTCCTTTGCCCTTTTGAGTGTCAGAGATGCTAAATAAGTTCAGGTGGAGGTATTAATTTTACTGTGTAATGACACTCCTATGTGGCAGAGGCACCAATCTGCTAATCAGAGAAACTAACTACCTGTCACACCTTTGAGATGTTAAAGGGAAGAATGGATTACATGGGGAAAGGTTTAAAAATGAGATGCAAAGGGAGTACTTAATAACTGTATTCTTGGAAACCAACAGTTTCCTAAGCAGTTGTTCTACATATTGATATGGTTGGGCAAGCAGGGAGGGAATGGATTAAAACTAAAAGTAAGCAATATTTTAAAGTTATTGGCAGGATAACAAAACATCCCAGGGGAAAATGGCTGTGGAATCTTTCTTTCTCAACACATCAAGGAAATGGTAAACTATCCATTCCTGACCTTTGAGACTGGTCATAAACTCAAATATCTTTATGGGCCTGGCAGGAAAGCTTGGCTATGTGAAGCAGCCTAGGGAAAGAGATGGGGCCTTCAGGGCTGGCCTCACCAAACACCAAAAAGATAAATAAAAATTTTAAAAGACAGCTCTCGCATCAAATATGTCTAATCAACCAAATAGTACACATCTTCATGCCACAGCTGGCATCCTGTTTGTGATTCATCTTTGTCTAAAATCAGAACAAGTCAACCCTGTATAAGGTTCTAAATAGTTTCTGGTTTGACATACTTGGCTTAGAATTTGCAAGACCAGGTTTCAAACCAGCCTTCATCACTGACCCAGCTGTCTGATACTGGGCAGCTACTTGTTATGTTTGAGACTCAGTTTATTCACTGTAAATGATGATGAGGATTGTTTAAGAATTGAGATAATACATGTGAATGCTTTATCCCAAGATCCTGAAAATTCACATGTTTAATGAAAAACTATTGCCATGATTAATTAATTTACTTACAACCTTTCTACAGTGTAATGAATCAAAAGGATTATTTTCATTTGGGCAGAGATGATAAAAAAAAAAAAAGAACTGTGGCATTTACCACCATCCATGCAACGTGAGAACTCCCTAAGTGATGGCTATTTCAGCTATGACTGCCACTGTTGTTGCTCACAGGTAAGCAGGCACTGTTCAAACAGAAGGAAGCACAAAGGGTATTTTCATGACAGCAAAGTGGAGCTAAAGAAGTCTTTGACACTATGAAGGCACTGGGTAAGACAGTCACTCCAGCTGGTGCTGTGAGATTATTAAGGGGTATTGTCTACAGCGGTTGGTCTTCCCTTCTCCCATATTTGCTTACACTCAGAAAACTAAGGTTTATCTTCTCTCAGAAGCAAACATAGTTCCTTCTTTGCTGCCATCTATAGCCTCCATCCATTGTTTCTGCCCTGGATATGAACTAACATCACACCAGTCAATATAGATTGCCATATCTCATAATAAACAGGCTCCCAGAAAATTGAGTAGAAGACAAGCTATGATGACTGCTTGTATCAGAAACTCATCAGGAAAGGAACCAAGTCAAATGAATGTAGTGTACATTTAGGCCACTGCATATAAGAACAGCAATAAGAGCCATGACCTTGGAGTTGAACAGACCTGAGTTAAAATCTCCAACTCTGCCTATCATTTTCTTTGTAGAGGAGAGGAGACTGGGATTCAGAAAAGTGAAAGTGGCATGCCTGTCATTAAAATGGTCGTAATAATCTACAGCGTTGGGATGATGTGAAGAATAAATGAGAAATGGTAGGTAAAGCACTTATCTTCATGCCTGGCATACTAAAAAATAAATCAAAATATAATAGCTTCATCAGTATAACTCTTTTCAGAAATTAACCCCAAAAAATGAAATACTGGAAGACATTTTCAACTTCCCTTCTGAAAACATCAAGGGGAAAAAAGAAAACTTTATGCTGTCTACTCAAATTTTTAAATCTGATCACTTCAAATTCTTTAAAAAGGATAAGCAGCATTCCATGGCCATTCTCATTTTCATACTTGTCATCCAGAAGAAAGAGATGCTTTCCTGTCCAAATTTTCCAGCAGCAAAACTTAAAAGCCAGACAGAATACTTAATTGAGCATTGTTAATTGGCACCACACAGACTGGATTATATCAGCTTTAGGCATGAACATCAAGGGAAAGAGCAGCAGCCTCAATGAAGCACAATCAATTCTATATGTCACTATTTGACCACATGTCAAAGATACACTGTCATGCCACCTAATTGGTAGACCAAGCAACGACCTTGGGGACTATAAGGCTATACTATATTGGGGCAAATGGAAAAAGAAAAAGGAAAGACTGTATCCAGGCTATGTACATCTTCTGCAACCTAATATCCCTGGCCAAAAATAAGTTCACTAAAATCATCTCTCTGGTTACACCTCCAGTGCTAAATCAATATAGCATGTCAGGAGCCCAAAGTAAAGCAAGTTTTTCTCATCTTGAATGAAACCCCTGCAAAGTAATTTAATTCAGTGGTTATTTCCCTAAAGTGCTGAAAATTAAGCGGCCAAATCCTACTGAACAGTAACTAATCTTTTCATTAATAACCAAGTTGATTCACACTTAATGTCATCATTTCCATTTTATTTAAAGGTCTGATGTCTCCAGAAACGCACACAAATTTCTGTTGGGTTTTTTTTTTTGGTTGTTTCTTTGTTTTATTTTACATATTATCTCCTTATTCCCAATTAGAATTACAAAAGACTGTCCTACATATGGTACCTACCATTTTTATCTGAATACATAAAATGGTTTAAACATAGTTTAGGATAACAAACTAAAAAGAAATGGAAGGAAATGATTTCACCCATTGGTGGAGTATAACAATGAAGCAAAACTGAAGAACAAAACAGCAGCAGACTCACAGACTCCAAGAACGAATAGCGGTTACCAAAGGGAAGGGAGTGGAGAGGGTGGGTGGGGAGGGAGGAAGGAAGAGATTAACAGGCATTATGATTAGCACACGTGGTGTCAGGGGATCACTGGGAAGACAGTATAGGAAAGAAGACAAGTAGGGACTCTATAGCATCTTACAAGGTTGATAGGCACTGACTGCAATGAGGTGTTTGGGGGGGGACAAGATAATACGGTTCAATGTAATAACCACAATGTTGCTCACGTAAAACCTTTATAAGACTGCATATCAATGATATCTTAATAAAAAGAAAATTTTAAAAAAAAGGAATGGAATGGAAAAACCCACCTACTCTAATAGATTCTGTATGGAATTAGACTGCAGTTACACATTGACAATCATACTATTGTTCTTGCTATAACCGAGGTGTTTATAACGCCAAATTCCTTGCTCTCAAATATTATTATTATATGCAGGAGCCTAAATATGCAACATATTCACTTTATTTTGTTCTTTATCTGAAAATTTCTGATAATGAGCACTGCTCAAAGCGAGGATTTAACTCAGTCTCATGGGAACCTGTTTAGGAGAAAAACACTGTAAGAGATATATTTGATAAACTTATAAATATGTAAGACTCTCAAATATCATATCACTTAAGAGAAAAATATTTAAAGCCATTTACAAAGAAAAAACAACAACCATGTGAAGGTCTTGTTTTATTGCATTACCTGCATTAAATTAAGTATTTCTCCTGTTCTCCACTCAATTCTTTATCAAAATAAGTGTTAGTCTAATTAAACCAAAACAGTATTATGCCAAATTTTACAGTTCCCCAATAGTCCCATGATGAATGATAAACATTCCTGGAAGCATTATTAAATATAAAAAGAGGTGGAGCCAAGATGGTGGCGTGAGTAGAGCAGCTGAAATCTCCTGCCAAAACCACATATATTTTTGAAAATATAACAAAGAAAACTCTTCCTAAAAGAGAGACCAGAAGACACAGGACAACAGCCAGACCACATCCACACTTGAGAGAACCCAGCGCCTCACAAAAGGAGTAAGATACAAGCTGCGGCCCGGCGAGACCTGAGGGAGCCCCTCACCCCAGCTCCTGGCGGGAGGAGAGGAGTCAGAGCGGGGAGGGAGAGTGAGACTAGCACTGCTAAATACCAAGCCCCAGCCATCCACACCAGAGCGCAGACACAGTGCACGCATGAGGGGCTGGAAACTAGGGAAACAGCACAGTAAGACCTATGAGCAGGTCCCTGCAGATGTTGCACCCGGGACAAAGAAAAGTGAGTGCTTTCTGGAAGTCTTAAAGGGACAGGGACCCCAAAACTGGACAGAAGTGTACTGGGACACTTAGTCCACCAGCAGGGAATCTGGGGATCTCTGGGCACTGTAACCCCATGGGCAGCAGGGAGCACGGAGGCTGCTCACGGAGATAAATACCCTTCCAGCCGTTCCCCCTCCAACACGGCTCCACCATATAAGAGCTAAGGCCTGAGGGAGGCCACGCACACAGCAAAAGCGAAGATAAACTCCATGGCAGCCAGGCAAGAATCAGAAGCCCTTTCTGCACGCAGCTGCCCAGCACAAGCCACTAGAGGTCGCTGTTCTCCCAGGAGAGGAAGGCAACAAACCAATAATAAGGGAAGTTCTTCCAGCTGTTACTCATGCCAGCTCTGCAAACTATTTATATCACCATGAAAAGGCAAAATTACAAGCAGACTAAGATCACAGCGCCAACACCAGAAAAGGAGACAGAACTAACCAGTCTTCCTGAAAAAGAATTCAAAATAAAAATCATAAACATGCTGATGGAGATGTAGAGAAATACGTAAGAGCTAAGGGATGAAGTCCGGAGGAAGATTACAGATGCCAGGAAGGAGATTACAGAAATGAAACAAACTCTGGAAGGA